GTGATGGGAGAGGGGGTGATGGGGGAGTGGTGATGGGGGTGTGGTGATGGGGGAATGGTGATGCGGAAGGGGTGATGAGAGAGTAATGATGGGAAAAGGGACGATGGGAGAATAGGTAATGGACAGTGGTGATGGGAGAAGGGGTGATGGCGGCGTGGTGAGGAGTGGTGAGGGAGAAGGGGTGATGGGGGAGTGTTGATCGGAGAAGTGCTGAGAGAAGGGGTGATTGGAGAAGGGGTGATGGAGAAGGGGTGATGGGAGAAGGGGTAATGGGAGAAGGGTGATGGGGGAGTGTTGATGGGAGAAGTGATGAGAGAAGGGGTGATGGGAGAAGTGGTGATGGAGAAGGGGTGATGGGGGAGTGGTGATGGGGGAAGGGGTGATGGGAGAATCATGATGGGAAAAGGGGCCATGGGAGAAGGGGTGATCGCAGAATTGAAGGGAGAAAGGATGATGGAGAGGTGGTGATGGGAGAAGGGGTGATGGGAGAAGGGGTGACGGGAGAAGGGGTGATGGGAGAAGGGGTGACGGGAGAAGGGGTGATGGGAGAAGAGGTGATGGGGAAGGCGTGTTCAGAGAATTGATGGGAGAAGGGGTGATGGAGAAGTGATGGGAGAAAGGGTGATGGGAAAATGGGTGATGGGGGAGTGGTGATGGGAAAGGGGTGGTGGGGGAGGGTTGATGGGGAAGGGTGATGGGGGAGGTTTGATGGGAGAAGGGGTGATGGGAGAAGTGATGGGAGAAGGGGTGATGGGGAAGGGGTGATGGGGGAGTGGTGATGGGAGAAGGGGTGATTGGAGAAGGGAGAAGGGGTGATAGAGAAGTGATGAGGGAGTGGTGATGAGGACGGGGTGATTAAGAATGGGTCATAGGGTAGCATGTGATGGGGGAGGGGTGTTGGATGCGTGCTGGGTGAAGGGGTGCTGGGGGATGGGTGGTGGGCAAGTTGTGATGGGTAAGGGGTGCTGTTAGAGGGGTGGTCAGTTAAGAGGTGATGGCAATTGGGTGGTGGGGGCGAGGTGGTGGGGGAGGTGGTAGGAGGAGGGGTGATGGAGGATGGGAGGGGTAATGGGGGAAGGGGTGATGGTGGGGTGATGGGGCGGAGTCATGGGGAAGGGGTGATTGGTGGTGGTGGAGAGGTGTGGTGGGGGGTTAATTGGGAAAGGGTGGTGGGGAAGGGTGATGGAGTTGCGGTGATGGGAAGGAGCAGTAAATCGGGGGAGTGGGGATGGAGGGAGCAGTGATGGACGGAGCAGTGATGGGGATGAGCAGTGAGGGAGGGAGTGCCAGGTCCTCCTCTAGGGTGTCTGTTTTCTGCCCCTCACCTTGAGGGGGCTGCTCGCCACCTGGACTACTCACACTGTTCCTTGGATTCAAATGATGGCATGGCCTCCGGTCCTTTATTCCTGTGCCCTTGGATGCTCCAAGCAGGCGAGGAAGGGGACGAAACAGGTTCCTGAGGCTCTAGCCATGTCGTATGAGTAGAATCAGGAAATGTCCACCAGGCCCTCTTCCTGCTGCCAGGGACAGCAGGGCTTCTCAGAAGGATGCTGCATCCCAGTGAGGGGACCAGGGCACAACTCTCAGAGTGATGGGCACTCCCATCTGTCAAAAGTCCCTTTTCACAATGGCCTCTCTGGGAAGGGAGAAGCTCAAGCTGGCAGCTTAGGTCACATACCTGAATGAATGTCATTAACTGCCTCTCGAAGCACTCACGCGATCCACTTCTCTCTCTCTCTCTCTCTCTCTCTTCCTCCCTCTCTCTCTCAACCTGCCTTCCTCTTTCCCTCCTCTCTCTCTTGACCTCTCTCTTTCCTATTTTCTCTCTCTCACTTTCTCTCCCTCTCTCTCTCAACCTGTCTCTTTTTCTTCCCCTCTCTCCTTCTCTTGCTCTAAAAACTCAGATGTTTTCTTCCCAAACATGGTTTTTTTTTGAATTTTTAATTTTAGCCAAGTTAGCCCCAGAGGCAGCAAATCCAAATCATGAGGGCATCTCCAGGGTGCATTGTTGCAGGGAGGGCCTCTCTGAGGTGTCCGTGGGAGAGACGTTAGATCAAGGAGCAGATGGGAAGGTGCCGGGACACAGCCTGCATGTCAGCAGCCTGGGTCCAAAGCCAGCTCTTTCCAAGAGCCGTTGCCTGGGCAATGAAATGGAGAGATTTTGAAAAGTCCCCTCTCCACGTATCCACACCTGTCCTGCTGGCACGCCACCTGTGGTGTTCTCATTAAAATAACTTGTCCCATGGCGGCTCCTGCTAAAATGTGTCTCCCAGAGGGGAGAACCGCAGTTCATTAACTTGACTCATCCACTACCAACACCATGCTGCCCTGAGAATCCTATGATGGCCTCACAGACAGCAAGAGAAGGCAGAGGCCCAGTAAACCAGACGCACCTGTGTGTATGTGTGGAGCAGGCAGCACGCCCTCATTAGTGGAAGGCACCTGTGCTCCCAGTGCCTGGCCGGGCTCTTCAGTTGGGTCCCGCTGCCATCCTGGAGATGAAGAGCCCCTCCAATAGGCACGTCAATGCTTTTCCCTGAGACCTTTGTATGAAGGCATCTTCCTGTTAGGAAAACACACAGATGCTCACCGCCCACAGGATTAAACCAAGTGCATGCTGGCTTCCAGGGTAGGAGGCCCTGAGGACCCAGGAGAGGTGGGTTTTGAGGCGGAGGAGTCAGCTAACGGGGAACCAGCAGTGAGCAGCTGAACGCAGCGGGAGAGAAACGAAACACTGAGCCTGAGAATGAATGCCAGCCCCATCTCAGCCTGAGGATGCTGGATTTGCTGTGGTGCTGTCACGGCAGAAGGAGACAGATCCCAGGAACTTTCACACCAGGAGGCCCATGTCAACCTGCCTCTGTCCTCCGTCTGCAAGGACTACGCCAGCCTCTCCAAAGTCTGGGTCTTTCTAACAGTCATTTGTGGAAAGACTTCATGGCGAGGAGCATTCAGGAGGCAGTGGACAGGACGTCATTCACGTGGAATCCGTGCTGCCTCCCCACGGGAAAGCTGCTCTTTGGACAGGGCTTTTGGTCTTTTGGACAACAGACCTAATATCTTTGAGCAGGCCATTATTCGGCCTACCAGAGTCCTCCCTTGGGTCTCCAAAGATTCATGTCTGTTCCATATGCAAAATATATTTACCCCATTTCAACGTCCCCAAAAGTCTCAACCCACTACAATCAACTCACGTCCAAAATCTCATCTAAATCTCATTAACTCAGAAGTTATAAATCATAACATCTGTTGGAAAAATAGATGCTCAGTGCCACAAAGAAAAATCAGCCCTGAGACAAGGGAGCTTTCAGCAATGAAACTGTTACTTCCTGGACTGATGGAAAGGTACCCTTACTAGCCATTGTGCCACGAGAGTACAATGAACAAAGGAAAACACACAAATTTATCCCTTATGCATTTGGGTTCATTCTTACAGCTGTGTCTGATCTCCATTGGCTGGAGCCAGACCTCACAATCCAAACTAAAACCCGATTGGCTAATAACTTAAAACTTTTCTAAATAGGTACAAGCAATGGAGAGCTAGGACATGCCTGTGAGCATGTCCAGCACAGATATCTTGGTTAAAGTACAAGGACATAGAATGTACTACGTGCCTGTAAGCATGGCATGTCTAACAGCTACATAGGATAGGGCTTAACAAAGAGTTATTAGCACACTTATTCTTTAACAAGAAAAGAAACTTTCAACTATAAGGACACATGCACACGAATGTTCATTGCAGCACTGTTTACAATAGCAAAGACCTGGAACCAACCCAAATGCCCATCGATGATAGACTGGACAGGGAAAGTGTGGCACATATACACCATGGAATACTATGCAGCCATAAAAAATGATGAGTTCATGTCCCTTGTAAGGACATGGATGAACCTGGAAACCATCATTCTCAGCAAACTGACACAGGAACAGAAAATCAAACACCGCATGTTCTTTTTCATAGGTGGGTGTTGAACAATGAGAACACATGGACACGGAGGGAAGCATCACACACTGGGGTCTGTTGGGGGGATATAGGGGAGGAAGAGTGGGGGGTGGGGAGTTGGGGAGAGATAGCATGGGGAGAAATGCCAGATATAGGTGAAGGGGAGGAAGGCAGCAAATTATGCTGCCATGTGTGTACCTATGCAACAATCTTGCATGTTCTTCACATGTACCCCAATACCTAAAATGCAATAAAAAAACTTTTAAAAGGAACTTTTCTACTTCCCACAGCATCTAATTCAGATATGGGTTAGACTCTGAGAATGGACCATAGAATTGCTCAGACTGAGTGGGCTGGCGGGTGCTGTGAGCAAATAGGAAAGCAGCTTCATGACAGAAGCCTTCGATTCCTCATCCTGCTCCCAAGCATTCAGGGAGAGGGAACGGGAGAGAGGCTGGAATGGCTACAATGTGCTCAGGGAATGTAACGGCTTGTGGAGGGCTGCCCAGAGATGGTGGGTCCAGTTCAAATCAGCTCTGCCTCTGTTCATAATCCCAGCCACATCGGGCATCAGCCAGAGCCACCCTGCAGGCCAGAAAGAAGGAAAGGGCCAGATGGCCTGAGCAGTGCCCATCAGTCAGACTTGCCTTGTGGATCACTAAGATAAACGGTGCTGAAAGTGGTATACTGTTAGTAAAAAAAAAAAAATAAAAAAAAAACACTCCGAGGCTAGGTGGGGTGGCTCTCACGCCTGGCATCCCAGTGACTCAGGAGGCTGACGCAAGAGCATCACTTGAGGCCAGTTCTATACCAGTCTGGGTAACACAGCATGACCTGTCTTTATAAAAATAAACAAACAAATGATACACTTTGATACAGTTGATACAATAATATCAACCTACACCTGGATAGTATTAGGTTGGTGCAAAAGTTATTGGGGTTTTTGCCATTACGTTTAATAATTCTTGCACCAACCTAGACTGAATAATTGCCGCACAAAGTGTTAGGTCCCAATCTCTCATATAGGAGCCATGAGCCCATAGGGTGGAGGCCCAAGCCACAGAGGTTATCCCCCCAGCCCTGAACCCTAATGGAATCTGCCGTGCTGGAGTAATTTTTTTTTTTTTTTTTGAGATGGAGTCTTGCTCTGTCACTCAGGCTCTGGAATGCACTGGCACGATCTCAGCTTACTGCAACCTCTGCCTCCTGAGTTCAAGTGATTCTCCTGCCTCAGCTTCCTGAGTAGCTGGGATTACAGGGACGCGCCACCATGCCTGGCTAATTTTGTATTTTTGGTAGAGACGAGGTCTCACCATGATGGTCAGGCTGGTCTCAAACTCCTGACCTCATGATCCGCCTGCCTCAGCCTCCCAAAGTGCTGGGATTACAGGCGTGAGCCACCAAGCCTGGCCTGGAGTTCTTCATTAGGTGAGACTTGTGACTTCTTTCTTCCTTTCGTTGTTCCCTTTTGGAATGAGAGTGTCTATCCCTGTCATACTGTTATACCCCACCTGGCCTGACATTGCATTTGGAATAAACAAGCGATTTTCTAGTTTCACAGATCCAGAGATGGAAAGGAACTTTTTTCCAGGATGGATCAGATCCAGAGTCTAACCACCATCTGCATTAGATGCTGTGATTTGTAACTTCTGAGTTAATGAGATTTAGATGAGATTTTAGACATGAATTGATTATAGTGGGTTAAGACTTTGGGGACATTGGCATGGGGTAAATACAGTTTGCATGTAGAACAGACATGAATCTTTGGAGATCCAAGGGAGGACTCTGGGAGGCCAAGTAATGGCCTACCCAAAGATACTAGGTCTGTTGTCCAAAAGGCCATGAGAATGGCTAACTAGTAGGAAGGAGAGCTCTATTGGCAGCATCAGTTTGCAAACTGGGAAGAGATCATCTCCAGTTTGGACTGAAGGTGCTCTCTTCAGAGGAGAAGGGAGGACTTGGGTTTTATGCCTAACAAGGTCCGTATTACACCAAAAAAGTAGACGTGTTCAGCAGGTTTGGGGGGAAAGCTATGCGTGTTTATGAGGTGGGTAGAGCACATGTGCAGTGGGTAACCACATCTACAATGTGCATCCCATGTTCATTTTTGGGCAACGTTTTAGCATTAAAATTAGGTGGTATTTAGCTCAAGTTAGAAGGTAAACTGTAGGACACAAAGTTTCTGCACAGCCTCTATAAGCTGCTGAAACTGGCTTCAGGTCTGCAGGTGTTTATCAGAAAAGAACATTTGTGAGGCTGGCCCTCTGTCCAACTAAGATATAGTGGTCTGGGGTGTAACGCCGAATTAGGCCAGATCTGATCACTTGCCTGACAGCTCCTTTTGCTAGGGAGTTTTGCAAGACAATGGTTTTCCTTGCAGCCATAGGAATTTAGAAATTTGCCATGCCAGCTGGGCCCCGAACCATCCACCCCTAGGTACCTTTTGTTTCTTTAACCTTAGGGTCTGACTTAGTTGATAAAGCGGTGTCTATTTCAGTTTCTCAGATCACAGGTTCTAATTTCTAGAGCATTAAATGTCACCTTATAAGGAAAAAGGTTCTTTGCAATTTTGATTAAATATCTTAACATGGAGAGATGATCCTGGATTATTCAAATGGGTTCTTAATCCAATCATAAGTGTCCTTATAATCCTTATAAAAGACAGGCTGGACACAGTGGCTCACCTGTCACTCCCAGCACTCTGGAAGGCTGAAGGAGGAAGATCACTTGAGCTCAGGAGTTCGAGACCAGCCTATCCAACATAGTGAGACCCCTTCTCAAAAAAAAAAAAAAAAAAAAAAAAAAATTAAAATTAAAAAATTAGCCAGGTATGGTGGCACATTCCGGTAGTACCTACTACTCAGGAGGTTGAGGCAGGAGGATCACTTGAGCCCCGGAGGTTGAGGCTGCAGTGAGCCATGATCAAACCACTGCCCTCCGGCCTGGGCAACAGAGCAAGATGCTTCCTCAAAAAGAGAAAGAGGGAGATTTCACACACACAGAGGAGAAGGGAATGTAGAGACGGTGGCACAGATTGGAGAGAGGCAGCCACAAGCTAAGGAACACCAGGAAACATCACAGCCGCTGGGAGTGAGAAAAGGCGAAGAACAGAGTCTCCCTGAACCTCTGCAGGGAGCACAGCCTCAGAAGCCTGGCCTCCAAAACTGTAAACATTTCTGTTCTAAATTACCAAGGTGTTGGTCATTTCTAACAGCAGCCCTAGGAATTGAAGACTGTGCTTTACACAAAGCATTTGCACGCACTTTATCTCATTTGATAGTGCAATGCCCAGCACCCAGACCCTTCCAGTCACCTGATAGAGCTAGAATGTGTGTTCTTAGGTACTGCAAGGAAAGATTAGCATTTAGGCAAAACGTTTTCTCAGCAAGGCAGTTTTACTTTCTGCAGAAAAGGTGCTCTTATTACCTATCCTTGCCACGAGAGCACAATGAACAAAGGAAAGGCAGGCATATTTATTTCTTACACGTTGCTATGTCTGATCCTTGTTGGTTGGAGCTAGACTTCACAATCTAAATGCACTTGATTGGCTAGCAACTGAAAACTGTTCTAAATAGGAAAAGGCAGTGGAGAACAAAGGAAAAGAGAAAGTCTAAATAAGG